CCAAAAAATAGCAAGGAGAGACAAGAAGGCCTTCTTAAACGAGCAATGCAAAGAAATAGAGGAAAACAATAGAATGGGAAAAACCAGAGATCTGTTCAAGAAAATTGGAGATATGAAAGGAACATTTTGTACAAAGATTACCATAATAAAGGACAAAAGTGGAAAGGACCTAACAGAAGCAGAAGACATCAAGAAGAGGTGGCAAGAATACACAGAGGAACTATACCAGAAAGAAATTGATGTCTCGTATGCCCCAGGTAGTGTGGTTGCTGACCTTGAGCCAGACATCCTGAAAAGTGAAGTCAAATGGGCCTTAGAAAGCATCGCTAATAACAAGGCCAGTGGAAGTGATGATATTCCAGCTGAATTATTTAAAATTTTAAAAGATGATGCTGTTAAGGTGCTACACTCAATATGCCAGCAAATTTGGAAAACTCAGCAGTGGCCAGAGGATTGGAGAAGATCAGTCTACATCCCAATCCCAAAGAAGGGAAGTGCCAAAGAATGCTCCAACTACCGCACAATTGCACTCATTTCACACGCTAGCAAGGTTATGCTTAAAATTCTACAAGGCAGGCTTAAGCAGTATGTGGACCGAGAACTCCCAGAAGTGCAAGCTGGATTTAGAAGAGGCAGAGGAACCAGAGACCAAATTGCAAACATGCGCTGGATTATGGAGAAAGCTAGAGAGTTCCAGAAAGACATCTACTTCTGCTTCATTGACTATGCAAAAGCCTTTGACTGTGTCGACCACAGCAAACTATGGCAAGTTCTTAAAGAAATGGGAGTGCCTGATCACCTCATCTGCCTCCTGAGAAATCTCTATGTGGGACAAGAACCTACAGTTAGAACTGGATATGGAACAACTGATTGGTTCAAAATTGGGAAAGGAGTACGACAAGGCTGTATATTGTCCCCCTGCTTATTTAACTTATATGCAGAATTCATCATGCGAAAGGCTGGGCTGGATGAATCCCAAGCTGGAATTAAGATCGCCGGAAGAAATATCAACAACCTCAGATATGCAGATGACACAACCTTGATGGCAGAAAGTGAGGAGAAATTAAAGAACCTTTTAATGAGGGTGAAAGAGGAGAGCGCAAAATATGGTCTGAAGCTCAACATCAAAAAAACGAAGATCATGGCCACTGGTCCCATCACCTCCTGGCAAATAGAAGGGGAAGAAATGGAGGCAGTGAGAGATTTTATTTTCTTGGGCTCCATGATCACTGCAGATGGTGACAGCAGTCACGAAATTAAAAGACGCCTGCTCCTTGGGAGAAAGGCGATGGCAAATCTAGACAACATCTTAAAAAGTAGAGACATCACCTTACCAACAAAGGTCCGTATAGTTAAAGCCATGATTTTCCCAATAGTGATGTATGGAAGTGAGAGCTGGACTATAAAGAAGGCTGATCGCCGAAGAATTGATGCTTTTGAATTATGGTGCTGGAGGAGACTCTTGAGAGTCCCATGGACTGCAAGAAGATCAAACGCATCCATTCTTAAGGAAATCAGACCTGAGTGCTCACTGGAAGGACAGATCGTGAAGTTGAGGCTCCAATACTTTGGCCACCTCATGAGAAGAGAAGACTCCCTGGAAAAGACCCTGATGTTGGGAAAGATGGAGGGCACTAGGAGAAGGGGGCGACAGAGGACGAGATGGTTGGATAGTGTTCTCGAAGCTACAAACATGAGCCTGACCAAACTGCGGGAGGCAGTGGAAGACAGGAGTGCCTGGCGTGCTCTGGTCCATGGGGTCACGAAGAGTCGGACACGACTAAACGACTAAACAACAACAACAATGCCTTAAGAGAAAATATTGTGAAAATGATTTACAGGTGGTACATGACCCCAGTCAAGCTTGCAAAAATTTATCACCTGCCTGATAACAAATGCTGGAAATGTAAAGAAAATGAAGGTACATTCTTTCACCTTTGGTGGACGTGCCCAAAGATTAAGGCGTTCTGGGAAATGATTTATAATGAATTGAAAAAGGTATTTAAATATACCTTCCTGAAGAAACCAGAGGCCTTTCTCTTGGGTATTGCCGGCCAAGTGGTGTCGAAGAAGGATAGAACATTTTTCATGTACACTACAACAGCAGGAAGAATACTGATCGCAAAGTACTGGAAGACACAAGATCTACCCACCTTGGAAGAATGGCAGATGAAGGTGATAGACTACATGGGACTGGCAGAGATGACGAGCAGAATCCGAAACCAGGGAAGAGAAACAGCGGAAGAAGACTGGAAAAAATTTAAGGGCTATCTAAAGAAATACTGTAAAATTAATGACTGTTAAAATGACGTTGGATTAGAAAATATGTGGTTATTAGCGGTAATGGATAAGTTAAAAAGAAGAAGGAAGATCAAAATTAAGTTAAAAATAAGGGAAGGATTTGCTGAATAATTAATTAGAAATTGGAATACAGAAAGGGGAGGTAAGAGGAAGTCGGGGAAGTAAGTTATAAGAAAATAAGGGTTGAAATTATATTTTTTTTTTTTTTTTGTTTGTCATTTTTAGTGTATTGTTTTGTTTTGTTTTTGTTGTTATAAAAAACTTTTGAAACTTTAATTAAAAAATTATAAAAAAAGAACTTTATCTAACAAGTGAGACAAGACGGGAGATTTCACAAGATTCCCAATTTCCGTTATCTCTTCTCTAACACTAATGCAGGGTCAGAAGGGCATTTACCTTCACCCATGTCATTCACATTATATTTACCTGTGGAAGCAGACAAAAGAGTCAGGTTATGCTCCTTCCTGGAAGGAAGTGGTGCCTGGGCTCCATCTCAGGGCCCTGGGCAAGGGGGGATGTGAGGGTGGGAGAGAGGAGGCATGACTGCTCCCTCTCCTGAGCCCCTGAGCCTGAGATGCTGGCTGGAGTCTGGAGCTAAAAGGGGGCACCTGGCAGGGGCTGCAACCTGGTGGAGTGGGGCAAGACCTAAGAGTTCCCACCACCATACGCAGAATCATAGGGTTGGAAGGGGCCACAAGGATTATCCAGTCCAACCCCTTTCAATGCAGGAATAGTTCACCCAACACGGGGCTCGAACTCACATTCCCCAGATTAAGAGTCTCGTGCTCTACCAGCTGAGCTACCCACCTACCCCATAAGACAGGGGGAAACAGACTGCTTCCCAGGGACGTCAGCTGGATTTCCTGGGCCTGCTGCGCTACATATGGATTGGGCTGCCTTCATCCCCACATCCCACAATCTACTGAGTGATGAGACCTGCTGCTTATGTACATATATTAACTGAACCCAGCCTACCTCACAGGGCTGTTGCAAATATAAGAGTGGGGAGTGGGGGGAAACACAAGCAAGCAAGCAAGCTGGGTGGGAAATCAAGAAAATCAAGAATATACAGCAAGTTGCAAGAAATTTGTGCAGTTTCACAACTCTCAGCAAAACACATAAATACACGCAAAACATTTTGTCCACCTCAAAAAACAAAACAAAAAATCCTTGTATTAAAGTACAGCTTTTAGGAATGTTAACTTGCTGCAACTGTAAGGTATTTCATTATTTTATAGGTGCATTTGCCAATTCATTTTGCATTATTCTTACCCACCCTCCTAAGTACACACACCTCTCTCTGTATATAAATAAATAACAGCCCACTGATGCCAAGCAGGCCAGTAGTGGTTGTGGAGAGGTGGAAGGGACCTCAAGGGTCATCTAGCCCAACCCCCTGCAATGCTGGAATCTCAACGAAAGCATCCACGACAGACAGCCAATCTGTTATGGAAAATCAGAGGCAATGCCAGTAAGAAGGAAACCATTTATTTCCAGGGAGTTACTGTGGAAAAGTAAAACAAATCAAAACCAGTCAACTGTGCTTCATTCTGTAAAGAAAGCAGCACACTTGGGAGTGAATTAAATCAGGCCGACACCAGGACAGTGCCCCCCCCTCCATCCAGCTTCTCCTGGTGCTCCAGGTAGGAGTGTCAGCATCCCATCCTCCGATTGCCTAGCAACCGCGATCAAGTGTCCTTAGCAACGGCGCCCTCTGGCCAGCGCCAAAGCCCTAGCGCTGTCTCTCCACGGGTTCTGCTCTAACTTCCTTCAGAAATGTCTGATTGACTTTCTTTTTAAATGACAGCTACGTATCTGGATGTGTTGGTGGTCTTGTCTCCCCTCCCCACAAGTCCGCCGTCTGTCCCCTTCTCTCGGGAGAAGGCTACCCCTCCCCGCGAAAGTTTCCTTCACGCCCTGAAACGGGGCAACCCTACTCCGCAACCCGCAGCACGTCTGAAGCCCGGTCTCCCGGGGAAGCAGGCGGCAGCCGCGACGGGCACAAAAGGCAGACGTCACTGGCTCCTAGCCGGAGAGAGGGAGGGAGGGAGGGAGGTCTCTAAGCAGCGCGCTGCGCGGACCTCGGACGCGGAGGCGGAGCAGGAGGGGGCCGGGCCCCTGTGGGCGAGCCCGAGGGAGGGGCGGGAAGGGGCTCCGCCGGCTCCAGCTTCCCCCTCGGGGGAGGAGAGGAGGAGGAGGAGCGGCAGCCGCGGCAGCAGCAGCAGCAGCCTCAGCCTCCCTGCCGCCTCCGCCGGGACCTGCTGCGGGCGCGCCTGGTCCTGCGCTGCCGCTCGCGCCCCGCGGATCCCGCTCCGGACGGCGCCTCCCGCCGCCTCGACCCTTCCACCCGCCGAGCCTCGCCAGGATCCCCGCCGGGCGCTTTATGAGCGCGGAGGTCCGGCAAGCGCCGTTGCTGCTGCCGCTGCCGGGGCTGCCCCCGGGGCTCTCCGCAGCTGCCGTCGGATCCGCCCTTCGGCGACAACCACGCGGCGCGGGCCCCTGCTATGGTGCTTCCCCGGGGGTAAGTACCCCGTCAGTACCCCCGTCTCAGTACATCCTTGGGATTAGAGAATGGTAGAGTGGGAAGGGTCCGCGGGGGTCATCTAGTCCAACCCCCGGCAATGCAGGCAATTTCCCGGGGGCTGCTGGGTCTTCTTCGCGGGAAGCGGCGTCGGATCATTTCAGTTACCTTCCTTGATTGCTCGCAAGGCAAGCCCGGTAGATTTCCGCGGGCTTTACTCGTGAGTAGCCCTTCCGAGGCTCGCTTGATCGTGCGAGTGTTCCCGCTCCGAGAAGCCCCACGGATGTCGTTGCCAGGTGAAGGAGCGCGCTGGGCGGGGCGGGGGGGGGGCTCTCGTGTGGAAAGGAAACTTGGCGTTCCCAGTGCAAACCTGCTCCCGACGGGGCGGGGGAAGGAGGTGCGGGAAGCAAGGGGCGCCTGTGGACGAAAAGCCGTCGGGAGCGTTGCGCGAGGAGCGGTCTCTGGCCGCGGATGTTGCGCGGGGACGAGGAGCCCTTGTGTGGCGGGTTCCTCTTTGCGGGAGAGCACGTCGGAGCAGAGGGGAGCTGCTCGCGGTGGGGAGGAGAAAGGGGAGGCGGCGAGGCGGCGTGTTTGCGCCCTGCGCTCCGCGGAGGCTTCGGAGGTCGCGCCGTCGGTGTTCTTTTAACTTTACCATTTCCTGCCCATTCTGGACTCCCGCTGTGGGAGTCTGCGCCCTGACCGGCAGGGGGCGCCACAAGGAAGGCTCCAGGAAAGGTTCTTTGGGCACCTTGTTGGGGGAGAAACACGCGCCAAAAAACCAGATCGATTTGAGAGGGAAGGTGGTGGAGTCAAAAGGCAAAGGGTTTGCGCAGATGTTCTCTATTATGCAGAACCGTCCTTGATGTTATCTGGCACTTCTGATCTTTGAGGAAGGGAGAAGGGAGATTTTGGCTGGCTAAATTGCCTTTGAAGAATCAAGTTAAATTTCTGACTTGGCTTCTATGATGCTGCGCTCATTAAGCAAAAGGATAGAAACCTGTGCCTTGCATTTAGCAACTGGCCAGGAATTCTTTGCAGGCAACTGAGGGATCCACTTGGGAGAAGGCAAATTTATTTTCTTTTTACTTTCTTTTTACTACCCTACTGAGAGCCTGCTAGCCTATGTTTCTATGCTGACCACAGGCGATGGAGCTTCTTTTCTCTGGAAGTTTTTATTTTTCAGCCTAGTAACTTTTGTGAACCCACCTACAAGACAGCTTAAAAGAAGTTAGTAAGCTTAGGCTCTTTGGGGCTTATTCCTAGTGTTGCGGTCTAAGAGAACCAGCACCTAAAATCCTGTCCTATTTACTTCAGTCTGACAGAGCAAAGTGCCTTAGAACAAGTCACATCACTGGCACATCTAGCGGAGTGACGTCTACACAGGCTGGCAGCAGCTGCCCCTAGTTTCAGACAGGGAGCCTTTTCCAGCCTTCTCTTACCTGGAATCCACTACCTGTCTGGGCTTTTGAACCTGGGGCCCTTGACATGCAAAGCAGATGCACTGAGCTCTGGCCCTTCCTGCTCTAGAGGAATCAGAGGGCATATGTTGCTATTACTGTATAACAATTCCATAAAATTCAAAGCCCTTTCCGTTTGCAGGTTGACTCTGGCCCATTTGGTAGTCCTTTCTTTAAAACAGGCGTAGCACAGAGGACCTCCAGGTCAGGGATTGTAGGAGCTGTAATCTGGAGGGCAATAATAATAATAATAATAATAATAATAATAATAATAATAATAATATTTATTATTTATTCCCCAGCCACCCTGGGTGGCTCCCAACTGAATATTAAAAACACAATAGGTTAGTTACACCTGATTTCGCCACACCTGTGTTTGCTTCCTTTTAACTAAAATGATCCATTGGGGAACTTGCATCGAACATTAAATAAGAAGACATTGCTGTTTATGAAAAACTATCGCAGTGGCATGAAATTAATAACTCTAAAAATAAGAATCCTTTTATCAAAGGCTTTATAAAGTAGCATACTTTTGATCAGTCAACAGGCAAAGACTCAGGCAGGCCTTTCTTGGCTGCATTTTTTTTTGGTCTTGGATGCAGGGTTAGAAACCAAGATATATGAGCTAGGCAATAAATGGCTCCTCAAACCAAGGTTAAAAAGGTAAAGGTACCCCTGCCCATACGGGCCAGTCGTGTCCGACTCTAGGGTTGTGCGCCCATCTCACTTAAGAGGCCGGGGGCCAGCGCTGTCTGAAGACACTTCCGGGTCACGTGGCCAGCGTGACATCGCTGCTCCGGCGAGCCGGCACCAGCGCAGCACACGGAAATGCTGTTTACCTTCCCGCTATAAAGCGGTACCTATTTATCTACTTGCACTTAGGGGTGCTTTCGAACTGCTAGGTGGGCAGGAGCTGGGACCGAGCAACAGGAGCTCACCCCGCCGCGGGGATTCAAACCGCCGACCGTGCGATTGGCAAGCCCTAGGCGCTGAGGTTTTACCCACAGCGCCACCCGCGTCCCTCAAACCAAGGTTACAAGTCTCCAAAACGGAATGTCTAGTTGCCCTTTGGGGGCAAGACGGCTCTAAAGTCTTATTTTTCAAATGATGGACTGACTGTGATTGATTCTCAGTTAAACATCTCACCAGTTCAGATGACAACCTTGAGCTCAGTTAAGAGCTTTGAGAACTTAAAGAAGAAAAGTCACTTGACCCAGGGACAGTCCACATATACATTGGCTTTTCTGACCTCTTTTTCTTAACGTTGCTACAGACCTTTCATCATGTATAAATATTCTTCACAACTGTGAGCAGGGTAAGGGAAGACAAGCGACAACCGTTGACTATAACATCGTTCAGGGCTCCTGCTCAGGCTGCACAGAAGAAGCATTTTGTTTCCTGAAATTCATTCTGATTGTGCATATAAAATATAGCTGAGGGAATTCTGCAGAATGTGGTCTTAGTGTGTGAAAACAGTCCAGATCCAGGGATCCCCAGGCAGGCACCTCCAGGTGTCAGGTGCCTTCCTGGCGCCCAGGCACCTTCACTTGGCACCTGGCTAATTTCAAACACTGCTTGGGTGGACTAGATGGGATTTGAGTACTGGCATTTTAAAAGCCATGCTTCATTGTTTACATGTATTGTGAAGTTTAATATATACGCTAACTAGTTATGCGACCCCCGAGCAAAAGACATCTGAAGGCAGCCCTGTTTAGGGAAGTTTTTAATGTTTAATGCTGTATTGTTTTTAACACTCGATTGGAAGCCACCCAGAGTGGCTGGGGAAACTCAGCCAGATGGGCGGGGTATAAATGATAAATTATTATTTATATTATAATAGTGAATTACTGCTTGCATATTATGCTGTGGAGTTTCAAGCCTATGTATCTTGTGTCACCAAGCACATGTGTTAGCGCATGCATGCATCCCAGTGGCTGGCTTTATGCTTGATGCCTGTATTCTCCCTCGGTGGGTTCAGTTGTTGAATGATGAAGATGCCTGTATAGATATTGTCCATGTGTGGCTGTGACAAACAACTGCTTGTGAACTCTTGACGTGGAGTTGTGTCTGCATGCAGGACTTTGTTTGAATAAATACTTACTACCAGCGCACAATTTTGTTTCTGTGTAATGTGGGAAATAACTTTTATTATACACCATCTGAAGCCAGAATACCAGGTGGGTTCTGCTTGCTCATAAAATAGGTATCTCTTTGTGTAAGAGGCCCCAGAGACTGTTTTGATTTATTGGCCTTTAAATCTTCCGAGAATAACCTGACGTATTGTGCAAATGGTCCTTATTTTGCCGAGTACTGAACTGATAAATGAGTATCAGTTTGTTGCCAAGTGTAAATGCTAAATTTAAACAGAAAAGAATCCTTATGGCATTTTAATTGACAGAAAATGTGCTGGTTCGCATATCTCAGAAAACAAATTGATTAGCTAGATTTATAAGTTTATATCTAGCCAATATCCTAACATTTTCTAGAAGCAAATAATTGAACCTTTAAGAAATGAGTGGTTGTGTTTTTTTTAAGGGGTGGTTATAAGAACCACATATTTCTGAAGTGTTCAGATTTAAATAGCATTCTATTAAAGCATACATGCTTGGGGCAGAATGATTTTTATTTTTTTAAATGTCAAGCTGTATAATTCAATCAGCCCATTAGTAAGTTCCATGAAACATGAGGCTCACGCATTTGGAGATGGTGCTTGAGTTTTTGGATAGGTGGTAATTTAAATTTTATAATTTCCCTCCTTCTGGGCATATATTCTTGCAGTTTTTTTTAATTGGCTGATGAGAAAACCACTGTATTATGTGTGCTCCTCCTTTCTCTGAAGCACCTCAGAGATGCAAAGTACAAACTGTGTGCATGTTCAGCAGGATCTCCTCAAAGATTACAAATGGGACAAATTTGTTTTACAAATAAACAGTGTCACCTTTTATTCTGTTATTTGAGCAGAGTGGAGATTTTTTTTAAATGCTGAATTTTCTGTAGGTCGTATTCAGTTATGTTTTATTCAGAGCAGACCCACTGAAGGGAACATGACTCGGTTGGGGCCATTCATTTCAATAGGTCTACTCTGAGTAAGACATAGTTGCCTGCCACCCATGGTTTTGTCTGATCCCTCTGCTACTTCTGTTTTACATCCCTTTTGTATAACTACAAGTGGGAGCTGCAACCAACTGTTGCAGTGTGAAGCATTCCATTTTAGGATTTCAGGAAGAAATCCTTTCCTTCAGGGCACTGCATCATATTCTCCATCTCTTCCAGTTTTCATTCTTGTTTCCCCAACAGATGCTCACGATTTCATGGTCACTGAGTGTACTCAGGCCTCATTCGGCTATTTGGGATGGGTGGTTTGTTTTCTTTTCTTTTTTAGAATTGTAGAATTGGAAGGGACCCTGAGGATCATCTAGTCCAACCCCTTGCGATGCAGGAATTTGCAGCTGCCCCTTACTGGGATTGAACCTGAAACCTTGACATTATCAACACCATGTTCTAAGCAACTGAGCTCTTGAGCAAGTTCTTTGCTCCCTTAGATTTTCCTTCCTAAATATTTTTTTTATCTCCTGTAGACATTGGAGTTACTCTGAACATGCTGATACCTTCCTCTTGTTCCTCAGTACTGTTCACCACAAAACTGCAGGCACTCGGCACTCAAGTTTGCTTTTGGAGGGAGTTGTTATTTTAAATGTGCAATTATGTTAACTGCTATGGGAGGCTTTTACTCAAACAGTGGGGCATAAATGTTTCAAGTAAGTAAATAAATAACCAACAAGCAAGCAGCACTTTGTTTCCGCATGGGCTTGGTCAGACATATAATTTCTGAGTAGGGT